AAGCAGTGGTATCAACGCAGAGTACTCCTTTGAAAAGGAGTGTGCGGCTACTTTCTAGCGCTCCATAATCTACAAAAGAAGTACTATCGAAAATTTCTTTCTGAATGTACTGGGGGCAATACGCGCTGCTTCACACCTTTGCGAAGAGACGTCCGCAGAAAGTTTTGAGAGTACTGAATTCGAGATATCAAGGACATTCTGCATACCGAAAGATTTGCCTTGATGAGCTGAGCACAATGCATTTTTCGGATTCAGAAAATATCCACTCCAAAGAAAGTTACGGCGAGTAGAATCTGGAAACGAGTGATTTTTCCAGAATTTACCAACGCTTTTTTCTCTTTTGAAAAGAAGTCTGCGGCAGCTTACTAGCGCACTATAATGCACAAGAAGAGCACTATCGAATGGTGCTTACTGGAAGCTTTCAAGTTGGATAGGCGCTGCGTTACATACTTGCAAAGGGACCTCCTCAGAACAATTTGAGAAAACTGAAAACAAGATATAGATGACATGACGTATGTAGAAAGATTCGCCTTGACGAGATGAACACAGTGCTGCTTCCGAATTTAGAATATATTAATTCCGAAGGAAGTTATGGCGCTGCATAATTTGCGATAATCCGGAATCGCGAAATTTCTGGAATTTCGCGCAATTCCCGTTCTGTGAGTGGTATTGTACATTGCACAGCACGCGCGGCATTCCGCGATATGTGCTTCTCATGCGATTTCCAACCATTTCCCTTTGTCTTCCTGCATTTTGGGACCCGTCATACTTCGCCGAGAAAAGCCCACTTTCACACATATCCATGCAGAATGAGCTGCCCAGTTTCACATATATCCATGCAGAATGAGCTCTTAAACTATACCTGCCCTATTTCTGCTGTGCTCAATAGAATGTGTACGTAGCCTCTGGAATAAGCACACTGAATGGTCCATTTACACTAAAATTCCAGGAAAGAAACTTATATCCCACAACTAGGCACATCCGTATATTGGAAGATGCGCCTCGCCGAGCTGAGTTGAATGGTACTCTTATATATAGAATTCATAAATTTTGAATCAAGATAAGGTCTTTTTTTATAAAAAGTTAGGCGTTGCGCGACAAAGTTAGGTGACTTTGGCCGCTTTTCCGCTGACTTTTGCCGCGCGACGCGGCAAAAGTCACCTAACTTCGGCGGCGCCGCGTAAGTTAAGTGCCGCCGCCATTTTTTTTCACAAATTACGGGTGGTATTGTAAGTATAGAGGAATTTCGTACACCTGATTGGCCCTCACTGGTTTATCTTCGAAGTATTCGTTTTGTTTTTCTACTTATTTTTCAAAGGCCCCTATAGTAATGTCGAAATTTTTATGTTATATAATAGCGGGGCCTCTGACTAGATTGCCCAAGTCCTGCGGCTAAAAATGAATTCTGAAGCGAAAAAATTGCTCCAGAAGGTGGAAGTGGACAAGGTGGCTCCGCCCATCACGGTGGGTGGTCTGAAGACAATGACCTCAAAAGCGAGCTTCAATATATGTAGAAATGTCGAAAACCTGAAAGTTACAACAAAGCGCATTTTCTGGCAATACCAGGTACACTGGAGCCCGATTCTGACTTGTTATCTTTGGACCACCCACCTTGGTGGGCGGAGACAACTTGGCCGCTTGTACCTTCTGGGGCGATTTTCTCGTTTCGGAATTCATCTATTGCAGCCGGACTTGGATGATTATTCACTTGGGGACCTGCTATTATACAGCATCAAAATCTCAAGATCCACGAATTAGGTAGACGGTGGCTTTGACCTAGAGCCTCTGCACTGACGACAATTACGTGGAACAACTGTCATGCTTGCAAATGCCAGCAATCTGCTTGTGACCTGCGCGTAAAAAATGAGCATAAGTCCACGACTATTTACGCGCAAATGTTATCCATCACGCAAGAATACCACGTCAAACCGTTGAAGCTACAAGTAGTACTATAAGACTCTGAAATGTTAGGAATCACGAATGCTTTTAGACAAATGTGTGAAGGGCTGGGCATACTTCACGCGATTTCAGTCGCGACGCGATTTGGCAATACTCCAATTGTCAATAACTCATTGTAAGCGTATTCAAAAAGTACAGAAGATAAGATATTTCATTGATTTAGGTAAGTTATACACAATATGCATATGCACTCTGCTAGTATTGGATCTGAAGACTTCTGGCAAATTGCCAAATCGCGCCGCAACTGAAATATGCCCGAACCTGTGAGTCATTTGACGAGAAAAGTTAGACTGCACTTCACTAAAATATCTGTTGAAACATATTTTCGGGCACTTTGGCATAAGGAAGTACTCAAAAATCTCTAGAGGCTACTGAAGGACTAAGGCGCAACAGCAGCTTTAGTTGAGCTGGCGCGAACGCGGCGCGCGCGTATCCTCACCGTTGTAAATCCTGCGCCTCCTGCGCCTCCTGCGCTCTGCGGGTAATAAAGCCGCGTTCGCGCCCAAGATATTGCGCCCTTGTCATGCAGCAGCCTATACTTTATCACGACAAATTTTCTTCATTCAGATCTGGTGCAAGCACTCGAAACGGAAGTCGACTCTCCCTTAACTCAAGAACTAGCCTTTGCAGTGCTCCAAGAGTGTCATCACAGCCACGCTATTAAGAGTCATTAAGAGAATTCGTTTACTTTTTACCTCTTACATCTTCTTACACATTTCGGAAAAAGCCAACTCCTCTAATCAATGATGTTTCCCAATCCAGAATTTACACGATTGTTGAGTAATTAGGGATCAAAGCTGGAGAAAAAAACCAGGAAACTGATGTAGATGGATCACGCAACAATGCCAGAAAGAACAATTTTGGGAAGCCTACTTGCATCATTGCATGAGTTGAGCCAATTTAGGCCACACAATGTTCAATGTCTCATTTTTGTCGAGAATTTCGAAAATAACAAAAAATGCTCTATTGTGAGATACACAGTTGAGTGGGCTTGTTTGCTAATGTGTGCAATTGCACATTTGCCAATGATTTGAAGAATTTGCAAACGCCGCAGAACAGGTTCCAAAACAATAAAGTAGCTTCAGAAGGTAGACGCAGCCGAGGCGGCTCCGCCCATCAACGTGGGTGTCTGAAACCTGAAGGTCTGGAAATAGCGTTTTTAATTGAGTGTGCCTAAGAATGCCATATATCCGCCCTTTATTATGATTATCAGATTTTCGACATTTCTATCTTTCAAGCTCATTATCTTAAGGTCAAAATGGGCGGAGCCGCCTATGCCACTATCAAGTTTTGGAGTGATTTTCTCGCTTCCAATTTCGTCTTATACAACAGGACTTGAGCAATCACTTAGTTAAGGGCTCCCCTATTATAACATCAAAATATCACCAGCCTTAATTTGGGTGGACTGTGCCACGTTCTTCGAAGCACTATTGTATTCAAGACTGCATGAAAAGCTAGGAAATAAGAAAACCAATGCTCTCTGTACAACTCCATTCTGGAAAATGTACCCTTTGATCCAATGGGCTTAACGGCTGGAAGGCGAGGCTTCGTGACCTAGTTAAAGCTAGGTAATGTTCAGAAAGCACGTGCGCGGGAGATACGCAGATTGCGTCGCGAGCTCGAGCGGCCTTAATTAGGTCACAAAGGCCCGCCCTTCCAGCCGCCAAGCCAATTGAATCAAAGGGTTAACTGCACACATTACACAATCCATATGCGTAACCACAAAATTGCATGATATTTGAAATCACTCGATACCATACAGATTTGTTATATGAGTTCGTTCGACAACTAGATCTCAAACAAATTGAAAAATGGCGAAGTAATAAACTACATGGCTATTCCTTACAAATTATTCCCTATCCATTACTTAACAGAACTTAACAGAACTTGCTGCTCTGCGGGAAAAAAACTTGATTCATAAAAAATTGAGAATGATTCAATTTCTCATTACGGTAACGTACTATGTCCTAAACCTGTTCCGCCCCCATAGGCGAGTTGCGCGATATTGGTGCGTGTCGCCTTTCCGCACTGTCTACGCTATTTCTCAACTATCTGTGCGCAGAACGAAGAACTCATCCAGCTGAAGTAGGACGGACTATACTTCCGAATAATAAAAACCTAAGTCAAAAATGAAAAATCAATCCTCCGTGTTAGCAACTTGAAAATGAAAGCCAAACTGGAAGATCAATATTTCGATTTTACTACACTGAAATTATTTTATAGTGCGAATATTACCCCTTGAGTGCAATGAAGATAGCGATAAAGAATATTCTGAGCTGTCAAATCAAATGCTTATTAATTTTTTGGACTACTTTTTAATTGGATGAAAAACATCTCCATCGGTCATGGTCATGGCTAAAAAATGAAATTAATAGTTTTAGCTATTGAGTTTTAGTTTAGTTGACCCTGCTTTCATCAATGCGCAATGGATCTGTACGGTCATACAAATTCAGAAAAATATTCGGGTAAGTTTAAACCCCGGATAACTTTTATTAACCGCCACTTTGGCCCTTGCAACATTTCTGAATGTTTATATGAACTACATTGAAGAATTCAAAAACTAAATATTGTACAAACCAGCTTGCTTAAGTGAAGGTATTAGTTGGAGTTCGACAATGTATGTAAATGTTGATATCAAAAATATCAGGTACTATGGGACCTATTTTTCGGGTTGATTACGGAAGCGTAGATCTTGAAGAACCTCATCGGGTGAAATCCCAAGACGTTCACCGGCTCGTAGCACTTCGGAGAGACGAGCCTCGATGGCGTGCAAGACTAAACATCAATTTTCATTGCAATAGTACACAAATTGCTTTCGACTGCAATTTTCTAGGCTAAATTTGCAGTGACTGAACACACAATTCATGCAAAGTGTGAAAGTACAAGCATGCAGAAAATGCAAAAAAAAAACACTATTTTGAGAAAGGACACCACTATAATGTAGAGTCCGAGAGTCCTGCAGAGAAAACTCAGGTCTACTCATTCCAAAAACGTCTTGAGGAATGTTCCGGCATGACTAAATCTTTCATGTTATCAAATGTAAAAACATATACTGTATCATGTGATAGAAACCATACTTTTCATCCAAAAAACTGAAGATTTGAAAGAAACTGTAACTATTTTGTAACTACAGAAATTCTATCACCACCGTTTTTTGCTGATTAGAAAAACGAGGCTTAACCTAGATTGTTAATGTTGCCACATTTACTGATTCTCCTAGGTTTTTTGCAAGCTATTTAAAAATTTAGAAACTCAGTATTTCCTTATCGCTTGAATCTTTGCGATAATCCACATCAGTTTTTGGTTACCTGGCTAGAAAGCGCATAAATTTCCTTTACAAAAAACACTGAATCAAATAAATCTGTACAAGCTGGAGAAAAGTACGTCAAATGTTTTGCTGCAAGACTTCCGGACCAACATAATAAGTCTCTGTTTGAAGAATCACCACTCACAAAGTCAACTAAGCATGCAAGAACTGTACATTTGAGCTTACCTGGTTTTAGTATAGTCGGTAGTATTCTGTAAAGGGTATTGTAAAAGTGGTTTTCAGGTGAAAACAATTTCAATTATCACCATATACAAAGTAATTTATAAATGTAGTTTTTTGAAATCATCCCAAAAATTCGTCTCCTCTTCCGTTGTGTGCTTCAGATCGCATTTGAAATTATAAGGTTATAAGCTCTAGTTAGGATTTTCTCTGCCATTCTCAGAGCGCATGACTGCTTCCTCAAGTGGAACTCCTTGAAACCTCAAGAACACAAAAACTCTAAACGAAAGGGTAATCTTAGTTTGGGCTATAGAATTTCTACCAAATTGAAGTCAAACTGAAAAGTAGAAAAAATTTATTGAGGCAGTAGCCTCTCCCACGTTGGATGGAACATTCAAAGACGCCTTATATAAGCGATTCTGTGAAATGGTTACTATATTAGCACAGGTTCACACCAGTGACAAAAAGATTGGGTTACTAAACCATTAGAGGCTCAAAAACTCCGAATAGTGATGCTTCTTTTTGTTTGCGCGCGTCTGCGACACGGTCCCAAAAATGGGATCCGTTCCGGAGAAGTGTAGACGCATCTCAAAGTGCTGTTAAATTTCAGCCTTTGCAATACTCTTGAACCAACAATCTTTGAATTTGGATGAAATTGACTATAAGGGGGTCCTAACAACATCCTATGCCCATCTATTCCGAACGCACCGTTATTTCGAAGAACTGTAAAATTTAAAGATATCAAAGCAACTCCAGAAAAGTAACAGTCTACCAATTTTTTTTCTCTATTCTATTACTTCATCTATCATATTGTTTTTTTTCGGATAAACTAGCTGCCCCCCCCCCCCGCTTTCCGCCTCCTCTTTCTCTACTAACTACCTAAGTGCAATTTCACTGCAGAGAAGCTTTTTTGCTATCCTTATGCAAATCAAATTTCAGGGTACATATTACCTCGTGCTAAGATGCGACCGTCACTAAAAGCCCTCATCTTTTCATAACTCTATAAGAAGTTCTGTGGCTTTTCAGAGAAGTTTTTTGGTCAAAAAACTTTGTAACTTTCATCGTATTATTTACATTTCAGTATTAGCGACAAGTTGCTTACGTGATTGGCGTTCATCCAAATTTCGTTTCATCGGCTGCCATTGAACCATTCGTTTCTGTGGTTGCCAGTCGTTAGATAGTATTTTTCGAGAATCCTAAAACATAAGGTTATCGATTTTTTTCTTGGGAGTAAAAGTAGGATTCCAAATAGCTCTTTATTAAAAGCAATTCAAAACATTTTGCGGAAATGGAAAAGACGCGACAAAGAAATTTTGTGAATGAAGAAACACAAAATCAACCGCTTCCCTCTGCTTTTTCAGAATTTTGAGATGCTTCTGAATTTGAAATTTTCTAAAATTGTAAAAAATTATGGCAGCAACCAACCCAGATATATAGTTCTGTCGGTTAACATATATCTAATATATAAAGAATGTAAGATGCATTCGAAAATCATCAGATAGCGGAGAACAGAGCGGGTCCGGAAGCGAACGCGCCTCCTTTAGATTCTTGAAAATCCGAATCCGAAAAAAACCGCCTCCTTTACCAGTATTCTTGAAATACTTGAACAAACATGATGAAAGTTTCCGTTTTTTTAAACCTTTTTGCATAAACCTCTAACCTCCTTTTCTGAAAAATTTGAGGACCATCATCTACTCAACTTTCCATAGAATTTATAGAATTATCTCTATATTCGACGAAAACAAATTGTCTTTACAATTTTGTAACTCGTACAGGAAGTTTCCAAAAATTTTTGCCCCTCTCCCCCCCCCCTTCCCTCCTCAATTTGCGAGACTTCTTCGTCTTTCTAGAAATTCTTCGACAACACGTTAAGTGCCCTTCATAATGTTTATTTGTGCTTAGTTTACTTCCAACTAAGATGTTTATTTTTCATCCGGTACAATTTTTTCTTAGGAATCATAGTGACCAACTGTTCTTTGACATAAAGTGAATTTAGATTAAAGCATTTTGATTTGCCTCAAACCCTAATACAAGCACTAGAAAGCAAACTCTGAGTGAATTTGTCTTATCAGCAAAAATCAAAGCATGTGTCTGCCGTTTATCAGAAATTGGGAATTCTAGGAATGTCCCCTATATATTCCAGATATGTCCCCATATTTGGAATGTCATAATCGTCTAGAACAAGGGTAAAAAAATATAATTTTGGTACATTTGTACGCTTGGTCGTCCTTTGTCAATCGGATCCTACGCAAGGCCATAGGGAACATAAGTTGATTAGATAGGGCACACATCCAGTAAGCAAACAATTATTAGAGAAGACCGCAGTTATTGCCATGTAAGAATAAAAGTACAACAGGGCAAGATTTTCATGTCTTGTAGTTTCTTCCAGAAAAGGAAGTTGGAGGTTTATGAAAAGTTTTGAAAAATGGAATTCCTTCTTATGTTTGTCCAATGATAAGAAGAAAAGTTTTTAATTCACAATGTGTAAATAATTAAAAAGCTCCTTCGTTCTGCCCTTAGACGGAGTAAAAGTATTTACAGACCTTTCCCGGTACTCCTCAGCAAGGAAGGAAAGTCTGTAAAACTTATTTTTAACGCAAAGAAGTAAGCTTATTCAGGAGCAATAAGTATGTTTATGAATTTTTTCAAAAGTAAGATCGCAGGAAACTGTGTAAGTAAAAAGAATTTTTTCAAGAATATATTAATAGGCAGAATTATTGTCAAAAAAATTTATAGCTACTAGAATTTTCTGGAAAGAGCGTTAGAATTAAGCCCTCCCCTTCATTTACAAAAAAAAACTATTTTGCGTCCCATCTATCCCTCCCAAGCAAACATCTGCGATCCTAGGGAATTTTTCCTCATTTTTGGATAGCCCCTATAAACCGCGTGGATAGAAATTAGGACTCTCATTCAGCTTAAATGGACTCAATTTGAACGTTAAGGTCAAAAGCAGGTTCTCAAGAAGGTTAAGATGAATGGAGTATAATTTCAATACTTATTGATTATGAATAATATTCATTCGTAAAGTGTGTCTGAGCCGTGCATGGCGTCATCTGCCGCCAATTTATCAATTGCTTGACAAGTACACTTGCACCCTAGCTTTCATCTTTAGGATAAAGGGGAAAGACTGCCTTATTTGGGCCTATTGTGATCCAATAAGACCCCATAATTAATAGATTAAGCTGAATAGTTAAGATTTCTAACGTAGTTATGGAACAAACAATTAAAGTGCGTCACAAAGAACGGACCATTCATTCCTCGACTAGGAGACGCGAAACCGCATTACACAGACTGTTTAAACAAGCCTAATCATGTACTAAGCAGGTTTATACTTGTTATTTATCTCGTCCAGTTTTATACACACTTTGGAAACGGGGAAGAACAAAATCATACTTGTTAAGACAATGTCCGCAATGCGGTCTCGCGTCTCCTAGTCATAGAATAGATGATACCGTCGCGTCATTTTTAACGTGATAGTGAGTCTGCACACTATGTGCGGTAATCGACGACAACGTTTCTAGCAAGTCTTTGGTAAAATCTTTTCTAGCGTAAAAAACGATTCAAATGCCTACTACTAACTGATACATATCCACTCAAGTTGAAAGAATTAAAGAAGCAACAGAAAATCACAGGAAAGGGGCAGATTCTTATTCTTATAAGCCGTCAAGTAGCGCGTATAGTGTGCAATACACATACTTAGTCACAAAATACTGACGATAGAGTTTGGTTTTGGGATCAGTGTCCGTAAATTGTATGGGAGACAGATTAGATAAGAGTTCTTCAAAATATTTTTTGAGTATGAAGGACATCCAAGGTAATAAAATTTAGTAGGGTCCCAACTTCTACTCATTTTCTAGTATTCTAGGTTATTTGAGGTCTAAATTAACCTACGTTCATTGAATTATCAATTTTAACATCAGCAACAGTCTGTTCTCTTCCTTTCTTTCTCCCCCTACTCCCCCCCCCCCGTCACTCTTGCTCCCCGCATCTTCACTGCGAAATGTCAACCAAGCACATGAATAACGGAAACACAACAGCGATAACACGGAGATTTCCATATTAAACCCAACTGATAAGGCATGATGACAAAGAAACGCGAACATTAACACTTATTGACGTCAATATCGAAGACATTCGAGGCAAGAATGTGCTGTTCAAAGAAAATGTCGAAACTCTGATTGACATCTTGCCGGCTTAGCAACAGAAAGAAGCTGTGATAATTTATTTTTTCATTTGCGTCGATTAGAATTAATGCCAGCCACTTGACTTCGTCTGCAAATAACTGGGACTATTTGAACTTTGGAGAAATGTTGAATAGCCTTTGAAAAAATTCCGTAAAGTAAGAGATTCGTGAAGAATCAAAATTTCCAAGAGGAGCCTATAACGCTCCAAGAAGAAACAACAAAAAATCAAAATATTTTTGTCATTGTTCAACAGAAAGATTCAAAGTGATTATTAGAAAAAAAAGGTTTCCAATCTGGAAAGATCATGAGGGTTTCGAAAATTTGAGCCCCATAGCGTTGTTCTCGAGCCATCCGCTGTATAACCGCTTGTGAACTAGTAAAGTATATTAAAACGTTCACGAAAATACGACCCACCGGTGGATCGTACTTTACTGCCATTTCGTACAATACGATCCACGGGTGGGCCGTAAATTTGACAAAGCGAAAAAGGCTTTGGTAAACTGCAGTATTCGAAAAATCGGCCTTGTCGGTGGCAAAAAGTTAATCATAATTTTGTTTTCGAGGATTCTTGGCTTAGTCAAATTCGCATTCAGGGTATCTAAAGGGACGTTAGTAAAAAAATTTTTTTTTAGGAGGGGTAACAAATCAATAATTCCCAAGTAATTAATCAACAATTTTTCGGAATACCGTTGCGCAGTTTTTGCACCCCCGCACCTTGGAAAAAACCTTGCGGTCGATGTTATAAATTTAGTGAATGCTTGATTATTTGTGAATAACCTAAGTAATAAATGCTTGATTATTTGTGAATAACCTAAGTTATCTGCATAGCTCAAAAATGTCGAAAATTTTCAGAAATTTGCACTTCGCGCCCTCTCTCCTTGTTCCCCCCCCCCCTCCTCCATATCTGCCACTGCTATTTTTACATTTCTCATGGACAGCTCTTTCCTCAAGTCGTAGTACTTTTCCGGTATTAAATCAAATTATTTTGGGTTCTTGCACTTTGCAGAAGCTAAGACCACTCATATTGTTGACTTAGTTAATGTGAGTGTATGCGTCCTTAGTTCTACCATATGATCCCGAGTGGAATAACTGGCACATGTGCAAATATAATAATGTGAAATTTCTCCGTATTTTGCCTTAGCTTGGTCATTCAATTTTGTTGACCAAAACAACAAAATCGAATCAGACATGTGCGGCGACAATTATCTCTGTGAGTAGTGTAATTATGCGTTTTATTCAAGGAAGTTAGAACTTTAATGATTGCAATTGCAGTTTTTTCTGGCAATTTCTCAATGATAAACAAACAACACAGCTTTAGCAACTCCGTAAAGCAAGATCCAAATGTAATCTATCCCTCTGACAAACTATGACATTGAGAAGTTGCCCTTTCTTAGGACTAGGAGGTGGGCACGTCATTAGTTGAGCTTTTTGATACGACCTTTGCAAATGCACACAAAATTACGGAAATCGCATATTTACGGATGACCGGCTATGTTCGACTTGTTGTTAAAATTACAAAAACTTATCTTTAAGTAGAAGATAATTAAGCTAACGATTACCCCTTTCTGCTCTTTTTTCTTTTAATCTAAAACAGCGCTTTGAAAAAGTGTAATAATGACGTTAGTGTTCTGTCAAACTTGCCTAGCTGTGTGGGTAAACAACCAAGATACGGTAATGGGTCAAGAATCAAACTAACATGTCTGATGAACTACAAATTGTATGTAAATAATTAAGAAAATAAATCTCGCCTACAAATCAACGCCAAGACAAGTGCTTTTAGTCATGTATAAAGAAAAGTGCTAGCTTTAAATCTTTAAACCATAAAAAAATTTTCAAGGATAATAAACTATGGATGATATAAGTTTTGATAGTGCCCGCGTTCTGTTTAAATCTTGTTTCGCCGTAATATACAACTTTAGTGTAGTGCACTTAGTATATTACAAAACTGCGGAGCCTGGAAGCTGTCCATTTAGGTACGGTATCAAGTCCTGTTATTTAGCACTAAACCATTACAGCATCAAACTGCTTATGGTACCATGGTATACGGTTTAGCCATTTTAGGGCACAGCAAAAAAATGTATACACGATTCATGACACGCAAAGACTGGACGCCATTGCGTCCAACCAAGATAGTTCTTGCATGGGAGAGACAGCAGATGGTAAGAGAAACGAAAGAGCGCTCGATCGAAGAGGCGCCCAAAGGTCCGGAGTCTTTGCTTGCCGTGAATCGCCTATACGAAAGAGCTCTTTCACATTCCTTCGCTTCACCTTCACTACTGCAAAGAACTAAGTTACTTACTGCAGTATCTACAATATCATATCATACTAAATCATACTATACCTATACTGGGTCATACTAGTTTATGCTACGGTATACTATACCATATCAAGACATCCCAGTATTACACTCTGTGTCAATCACGTGCTCCCTTTTCCGTTAAGGCAATCAGCCAAGCTTCGCGCCTCGTTCGCGCGCGTATGGCTTGCGCATCCAAATCGGCCTCATTGAATGGAGGCGTTCCTAAGCGAAGAGAGTACGTATTATTCATTCTAAGACTAGGAGACGCGAGACCGCTTTGCACACATTGTCTAGCCTGATCGTGTACTTACCAGGTTTATACTTGTCATTTATCTCGCCCATGTTCATGCACCCTTCGGAAACAGGGAAGAACAAACTCAAACATGCTAAGACAATGTCCGCAATGCGGTCGCGCGTCTTCTAGTCGTAGAATCTTATATATAAAGCTGAGTGTCTGTTTGTCTGTCTGTCTGTCTGTCTGTCTGTATGTATGTATGTATGTATGTATGTATGTATGTATGTCTGTACGTATGTTCCGAATAGAAAATTCTATTTCTGAACCGATCGGGACCAAACTTGGCACACATACACTTTGGGCCCCGGCGGGTGTCATAGGCTACTTTTCGTCATCGATCGATATCGATTTTATCGATTTTTTGGAAAATTGGAGCTACAGGGCTGGGAGTTGGCACAGGGGGGGGGGGTAATCGAGCATGCTGATCACCCCCGTGGGGGTGATCAGCATGCTCGATTACACCCCTCTGCCAAATTCCAGCCCCCTAGCTCAAATTTTGCAAAAACGATAAAATCGACATCGATCGATAACGAAAAGTGGACTGTGACACCCTCGGGGGCCCGAAGTGTATGTGTGCCAAGTTTGGTCCTGATCGGTTAAGAAATGGAATCTTCTATTCGGAACATACGGCGGAGTCGGGTAAGCCAGCTAGTAGATAATATTTGACATAAACTCTACACTGACTATGCTACACTGTACCACGCTATGGTACACTCTAAATGCTAAACTATACCACACATTTATAAATTTATTAAACTAAGCTAGTCTCTACTATAATATACCATACTAAATTTTACCATAGTATATATAATATAGTATAGTATAGTGTTAGCCTTATTACACTCTAGTATACTAACCTTCTATACCAGGTCATACTATACCGTACTATATACTATATTCCACTTATGTTATACTATATAACTAGATGGCTTACCCGGCTCCGCCCGGCCCTGTCAATAATATATTTGTAATCAGCATGCTCGATTACCCCCCTGTGCCAACTCCCAGTCCTGTAGCTCAAATTTTGCAAAAAATCGATAAAATTGATATCGATCGATGACGAAAAGTAGCCTATGACACTCGCCGGGGCCCGAAGTGTATGTGTGCCAAGTTTGGTCCAGATCGGTTCAGAAATGGAATTTTCTATTCGGAACATACGTACATACAGACATACAGACATTCAGCTTTATATATATAAGATATGCAATATGCTACGCTACTACATTTTCTATACTATAATGTCTTCAATGACAGACTGAAAGGGATGGGAGAAGGGGTAGTGTTGCGCATAGCGATGGTTAACATGGGCACATACTTATGCAATTTAAGTTTTTTCGTGAATGGTCAAAATGATCTTATATTCTGAAAATTTAGATGATCTCTGAGTAAAAAAGTTTTCAAAGTGCGAAAAACTTTTTCTCTCTTCAAGAATTTCCTGTAACAGCCACTAGTTTACTATACATTCTACCATGCTTATATCAACAAAAATGCGAAGCTACAAATTCCATGAATTTTTAAAAATTATTCTATTTGATTAAAGGCAAGGTTATCTGCCTTTTACAATCATGTGATTATTTTCAAAAAGATCGCATCCCGCGCCTGCCACTCGCCCCCCCCCCCCCACCCCGTCTTCTCAGTCCTTTGCTAAACCACACTGTACTATGCTAAAATTTTAATATTTTACTATACTAGGCCCTATGTGAGACAGTACTCTCCACTGTGCACTTCAGTTATGCAAAAAAAAGGTTTAAAAAAAAAGGAAACGAAGTTGCTCGTGAAAATACTATCCGATTTGAAGAGTTACATCATCTTTTAGAGAAACATCAAAAAAATTTTCAGTGTCTGCCGGCTACGCCCCTTTATTCATTATCAATAGCTCAACTGAAGGTGCCAATCCACTGGATGGAATTTACAGACTAGCCGGAAATAAAGTCATTTTTTATTCTAAGCAACAAATTTGGTAAGAATCGCTATGTTTCAAAGGCAAGAATCCTTGATCTTCACAACTAGTGGTATATCTCGTTCTGCTCATAAAATCCTTCTGGAACTTACTTTGAAATAAATGATGCTACTACTGTATCTTATGTAAATGAGCAAGAAATTACCAGGCTTTTGCCACTCGGCAAAAAATTTCGATAAATAGTTGGAAACTGCGCTACGATTAATGAGGCATTCCATATGAGGAAGTACGGACAAGTTTGTCAACGTGAGTTTTTTTTTTAGCTTGACAAATGGCATCGGAAAAGCTGCCATAGTACACAGCCCGTTCTTGCTTAAACTATGGCTTTGGGCAGAAATTTGCTATATTGTGTGAGCAACAGAATCCTTCCGCGAACGAGTGAAAAACTGCGCGGTCCAGACACGAAAACAGCACTATGACAACATATCCGGAGCAGTGAAATTAGTGCTACAGTGCGAGATTTCATTTTTAGGAAAAAATGGTGATTTTAATAGAGATGAAAATTGATTGTTCAAAATACTCACATCCTTATCCTGAGACGTTAGCGTGTCTAAATGTTGTTGAAGTGAGATGAGTTGATCTTGAAGTGTCTTGATCTTTGATTGCATATCTTCTTTTTCTGGAGCCTTCCATCCAGGCAGAGCTGGAAATTCGGAAATAAAGACTTTTACAAAAAAAAAACTAGAAGCCTTACAAATCTTTTTAGAAGTCCTACTAGGTTCAGTGGGTAGAAATGTCTTAATTATGCACGACTGCAAACTTTCCAAATTTGTCGAATTTTCAAGGCAATTTTAGGACTTACAAATACACAAGTAAAAGCGATCGCTATATTAGAATAGTTATTTACACCAGAATAGGTGTGGAAATTATGCGTGCGCCGGAGCCTTTTTAGTAGAATTTTACTTCTTCTGGCCCATTGACGACGTTGTGAAATCGACGATAGCACTTTAGAGAATTTCCGGTCTTAATAATTTGAGTGAATGTCACTTTCATAGAGGTATCAAAATTATTATACAAAAACGCATTCGACTAAAAATAAGTTCTTGAATTTCTGCAGATAGATTTTTTGAAAGCAAAGCTTATACTTTTTAACATTTATACTGTATGTAGGTGGAGCAAGCCTTCAGGGCGTAGTACGCAATTTTCAATTTTCTCAATCTCCCTAAGGCACCATCTTTGACATTTTTAGAGGAACAAAGCTTCGCCTTGATATCTAGTTCCAGAATTTTGCGCGCCTGAAGATTTTGTTATAAGAGTATCAGGTTGAAAAAAATTGCCCGTTTACACAAACCAAATTTAAAATTCAGGAACTAGTGCATGCAAAAGAATATGAACAGAATTTGTGTTATGTGTACTATGTGGGTGGAGCTCGGTATTTAAGGGGCGGGGTTTAACTTTAATTTCCGTGATTTTTTTGAGAATTCGAGAGCATTGTATGCATACATGAGCGTTTATTTTTACTACTTGTGACATGAATGACGTGCCGAATTCCGGCAAAATTTCATATAGATATTCTTGTGGAAGTTCGCATTTTGCGGTTTTCGCTAATTTTATGCAAACAAATGACTAAATATGGATCAAATTCTTGAGAAGATATTATGAAAAGAGGTCTTAGGTTTTTTCAGCAATTCAATACATACTTTGGCCACCATGCAAACGTCAGTAATATTTGTGGCAGAAAGCACTGGCCTGGTATGACGTGATTCATCGGATGCCAGAGATAGAAAAAGGTGTGCAAAATCTCATGGTCGTCAATGCTTTAATAGGCTTAAGCTCTTGGAAATTAAGTAGCAAATGCACACTGATTCATGCTTGAGCGTCCTATCGAATGCAAGGAAAAAATTAATCCCAAATATTTCAGCAGCTTCATATGAAGAGATAGGTGAATGAGACGGTAAAAAGTCGGAAATTTTGGTAAAATCTTAGCAACTACATATGAATGTAATGCTTTATTTTTAGGGTGTTCGAAAAAAAAATTTTTGTGACAACATACATTCGAAATAACTAGAATGGAATGCCGGCAATTTCTTACGTAAACCCAACAAAGATAAGGAGAGTCTGCTTGCGTCGCGCAAAGCTGCAATTATTTTAATCGTCTTAAAATTTCTTTTTTAGGTTGTCTCCCCTGTTGATTTTATTCGAAACCTAGAGAACGGGCATTTAATCACAAGGAGATGTGCAATTCCTTGGACCAGAAAAATTCTGTCAAAATTGTGTCGGTACAGATTATGTGGTTCAAAAATACAGAGGTTGGAATTGAATGACAGCACATTCTCACGCACAATATTGAGCCAAAAATTCAATAAAAATAAAAAAATTTCTTCCAATCGCAAAAATTTTTTGCTCTTCAGTCTCACTGTTTGCTTGTCAAATCAGGGATCCTGGAATTTGAAATAAATCAAAATATACATAAGAAAGGTTCCAATATTCCACCAAGGTGCAATTAATGCGTGTAAAGTTCGTCAAGTGCAATTATATTTAAGAAAGTACAAAAAATTTTCTACACGTAAAATCTCATTTCCTTTTACGTCAATCCCATTGCTACTTCTAACGCGATTATTGGATCCATGATGAGATTTGGCCAAATGCTTTCTGCACATATACTTTTCCATGCAAAAAAATTATGCTGAATTTCCTATGAGTTTCTCAAATTTCTGTAGTTTGGCTAATGGTATAAAGAAAGCCGCTTATAGATCAAAAATCAAATTTATATTGATCAAAAAAGACTCCTTAGTCAGCCTTGTTTCAGGACGTTATATGACGAATAGGTCTGCATGCGAAGACAACTGGTACTGATTGTAATTTGTAATAGTACATAGTTTGTGGTAGTTGCCCGCATGAGGGGAGCCTGTCGGCGGTGTACCGTCCTCAACCCGATATTTTGGGGATTAATGAAGAGCAAAACGAATACTGACAACGAGAGCCGCCTCTGCGGACCACTGATCCTCACACGATATGCGTCAGCATGAGCAAAAGGGACCAGTTGTCCGTGTGGGTGGGGACTTCGGCGGTATGCCAGTTTTTACATCCTCTATCAGACGCTTTTAGATATTAATGCAGTATGAAGGAGACGAAGATTATGAAAGGTTGTGAATGACGAAAAATTGCACAAAGAAACAAAACGTACTGTAAGCGAGGGTACTGTAGGCGAGGCTAAACACTATGGCAATGATGATCGTGCGCATAGTTAGCGTAGTGTCGGCGAATCAGTGGTGGTGTACGCAAATGGACCCGACCGGGTGTCAGCTGCGTATCAGCGAAGGAAGCGCAACGGTCTCCGCCCCGTCAGAAGAACTTAGCCGTGCCGGGGGCCCCGCCTCCACGCTTCTCCCCCCGTCACTCCGAACAATTCAGTGCGTTATCGCTGCTCGGGGGTTTCGTAGCGGAATGGCTCGAAAAATGCGAGGAATTCGACTGATGAGATTTTATAACAGAATACACGTGCTCTATGTAAAGCGAATCGGCTTATAAATGTCGTTCGTCAAATAAAACGATCATTATTTCCTTATTGACACCACTACTGTCTGAAATTTTTCAATGTACTCTGAGCTTACCGAAAAAAATAGCGGAACTGGAATGTGTCATCGTAATTTCATATCAAAATTCCTTAAAGTGCTGTCATTCCCAAAAATATTTTTCTCGTTAAATTTGGGGCCCAGCGCTCATTTGTTGCGAGCAAGCGTTGTCTTTGTTACATGCATAGAAATGTATGTACAAACTTGCTCGAAAGGGTTATTAAAGATGGAAACTGAAGTTGTTGAGGGTACGGTAGCATTACGGTATTAAATTACATTTGGCACAAACTTCTATCGCTTTCGCAAAAGTTCAGGAAATACCTAAAAGTTTTCGTTGTAGCGTAAGCTGAGGAAATTATAACTGGCTCTAGATTATATCGCAACAATGTCTCAGCACAAAGTGGGACCAGGAAAATTTCAAAACGAAGTTCCCTTAAACTCTAAACCCTGAACCCTAAAAGCCCTTAAAAAACGAAACGTCTACTCAAAAAACGTCGCCATTCTTGTGTCTTCGTCCATAAAACGATATCACCTTTACTTTTTGTCCCAAAAACGATATTCAGCTTGATCTCAGGCCAGCCCTGATCGCAACGGTGACTTCAATTTTTTTAAATGTATGTTTATTCATGAGTTTTCGTAGAAAGTTCGATCGGCATGGACTTTTGTCAAAAAAATGTAGGCGAACAAATTGTACCCCTTTGGTTTTTCCGCAACGTTCCAAACTTTAGGCTTTTTCAAAAATTTATAACTTGCGTAATTTTCTCCTTTCATTTCATTCTTGCGCTTTAGAGGAAGCAGCTCAAATATTGTTATAGAGGGAGTAATTAAGTAATTACCAGAGCAAATTAACGGCGGATACTTGAAACAGTTAATACGCAAACCTTCCCGAAGAGGGTGCTTGAAAACTTGACTGAAGGGAATTTGGCGCGATCTAGTAATAAAAGCCTAAAAAAGGAGATAAGATTGCTCTTGAAATTGTAGAAAAAATGTAAAAAATTGTAATTAATTGTAAAAAACGACCACCAATCAACATATCAGTACAGAAATGAAAATAAATCTATCTCTCACAATCGTATGGAAATTCAAAGGGTTTACGGGTATTCTGCACTGAGCATTGCAGTTTTTTGGTGAGTCTTCATTCTACTTCTTAAGCGATAAAATCCAAATCCGTAATGTCGCTGAGTCATTCCTGCATTGAGCTTAGCCATTTGTCTTGCAAATGTTTTCCTTGATTGCAGAGTCCAGGAATCGTAATGGTTTTGAGCGCTGGCCACGGATAGCAAACAAAGGTGGTCCCAGTATTTCTTCGAAAATTAAAACATGAAACTTTTGAGTGAAACCTCCTAGTTGATTCCCGATATCATGTGTGGTTATAACCGCGAAACTATCGAAACAGAGAAACTATGCGGTAATCCTTCGAAAGAATCAATTACAAAACCAACCTGAATTTCCAAAAAATTCAAAAAATATTTTGATAATTTGCTAAGAAGTAGTCATTTGCACAATTTCACAGCCCATGTAAGCTTTGATTCAACTGGCTTGGCGGCTGGAAGGCGGTGCTTTGTGATCTAATTAAAGCCGCTCGCGCCCGCGACGCAGTCTGCGTCTCTCCCGCGCGCGTGCTCTCTGAATATCACTTACCTTTAACTAGGTCACGAAGCTCCGCCTTCCAGCCGCCAAGCCAGTTGAATCAAGGGGTAGACATATCCAAAAGTTTCGCGACACTTCCCACCCCTCATTGCCACCCCTTCGCTATACAAGTGCACAAAAGATGGAGATCTAAATAAAACCAAATATTTAAATCTTACTATCCACATCTAGGTTTTTCTCTGGACGAGATACGCGAACATCTGAGCTGCAGTGAGCCTCATATTCTCAAATTTATGGACATCTCATCATTTTATGGAAGTGAAAGGAAGACAGCTGCTGATGTTGCCGTCTATGCGCGTTGCCGTGGTGAACTGGAAGTCTTTTTTCCTGCGAGTTCAAAGCATTAGAAAATTCTAAAAAATACTTCCAACAATAACCTTTTATCAATCACTTGTCTTTCCTGCACCTACTTATCCGAGAAGAGAGGATCAAAATGAATTAGCGGATGATTGACTCAGCGAGAAGATATACTTGAAGCTGATCTTCTAATGAGGCATGGATGAATAGACAGATTTGAGATTACAAAAACTTCGATGCTCTCACACTTTTGCAAACCTTTCCCCCCCCCCCCCCCTCTTAAGGCAATGGTTTGAATCGCCTTCTTCACTATATGATAATTTTCAAGCGTTCGTCCAAATCAAAAAGGTCCAGGATTTATGTGAACTCTCAATTATTTAACTCTCCGAACTGACCCACTTGGTTTGCTGATGGTTTAGAAAACAAGAAACGCCGGAAAGGTTATTAGGACATATGAGTTTTTGAAACTTTCTACATAACTTAGTTTGGAGTAATATTGTATATACTCAGGAGTAATTCGGCCCTCGAACTGAGATGTTCGGCCAAGCCGGCCAAGCGGCACATATACCGGATGAGCGGCGGACTTGCCGGACTGGCGGAGTTACTTCAGCAATGTAGTGTATTTTGAAATAAACAGCTTGGTTACAAATACGTTCTCTTCCTACATGAGAACGTAATAAAGTTCTTTGATTTCATTCCTTCTACGCGCTTGAACTCAGAAATTGTCAGCATGACAGGAACAACGATATAACAAAGTCTTCGAAAAGCTGATTCCGCTCGGCCGTTGTTGTTCGGCAGATCGCTCACCTTTCGTGGACAAGCGCGTAGCAATGACACAGCAGACGAACGGTCCAGCAAATTACAGGCTTGGGGGAAAGTCTTTGAACACAGTCTTTTTATTGTAATGACGAAGCTAGACAAGATGATTACATGAAATCAATAGATAATGTTTACTCAACTGTCTGCTATACAAAATTGACTTTACAATTCGAAATTCTTCCTTTGCCGCGAACACAAGCTCGAAATCGCTTGAGAACGCTGTCTATGGTGGCACAGAGGTGCTCCACGTCAACTTCCTCCCATGCGTCCTGAAGAGCACGTCGCAGAGACCCCACAGTTTTGCGTGAGTGAGCGCAGGCTTTGGCCTAAAGAACTGACCACTTGCGGTAGTCAAGGGTATTCAGAACCGGCCAATACGGAGGCCATTCCACAGGAGTAATGAAGTCCTTAACGTTGCTTTGGAGCCGTGCTTGAACGACCTTCACTTAGTGCGCAGGTGCGCTATCCTGCTGTGAGCACCAATCGCTCCCGGCAAAGGATATTGGTCCAGGCCAACAATTCCTTCTTCACGATGCTGTTCACATGCGTGGCAGTGTCCACCTTGAGCACTGAGACTCTAAAAATCAGCGGCATTCTGTTGTCGGAAGCGATCGCCGCGCAAATTGTCACAGAAACCGGATGAGGCTTTCCTTCTGCAAGTCACCTTTGCTACTGGTTTCTTGAGGCGTTTAGGTGATGACTTTGTTGTTGTGGCGATCAAAAACCTGCTTCACGGTGAATTTTGACGTCAGAAAAGAGTATGTTTGGTGGCGTGCCTTGGAGAGACGTTCAGGCATTCCATGGTATCCGCGCAGTCAAATCAGCTTTGTGTCTTTCCAAAAAGCATGAATTATTAGCATCTTGAAGAGCTTCATCCCAAGGCCTTGTTCCAAGGCCTTGTTGCACGATGTCGAAGATTTCAAACCAGAGATGAAAAGCTTTGAACCCAGCTCAATCAAGCTTCTCCGCGGATTGCGACGATAGCGCTGGCGAACGATCTTAAAAATTTTGTGAGTGTCCGCAGTAGCCAAATTATCACTCGTACAGCAGTTCTGGGTGCTGTTCATACCTGGAAACGACGCCAGGTGGAAAAGACGCTGATTCGTAAAACTTGGGGAACCCGCGCAATCTGCTGATTAGTCATCCTCTCCTCGTGCATCTTCGCCAGCAACGCTCGCTCCGTTCCAAAAGGCATATTTCCGACAGAAATGAAGCTAGTGGTCCAGTTTTTGGAGGGCTTGTAACTAAGGGCATAAGAAGCAAATACATATAATTAGCATGCAAGAATATGTGGAAAGTCCGAACATGCAATGACATCAAAAATTGTTCAAAGACTTTCCCCCAACCCTGTAAATGCACACGCACGGTGTTTGCAGATCGCTGGGCCCAAACTTCTTCTGAGCACATTGCCCAATTCGCAAGTTATGTGACTTGTACGCTATAAGTAAGTCAATTGTTTATAAAGCATCATTTTGAATTGGCGCGCTTCTTGAGATGAACACATTAGAGCATGTCATTCATGTGCCAATTTGATGATACATATCTAGAGGTCACTTATTTGTAGTATCTCCCAGAATTGTTCCCATAGGAACCATCAATGTAACTGCCTTTCGATTGATAACTTTAACTCCAGCGAACTTACGGAACTAGAACTCGACGTGTTAAAACGATCGAAAGGCAGCTACACTGATAGGCTATGGGAATGATTTCGAGGAATGCACGCTATGTTCAGCAGGTTTTACAATATCCTCTTTGCTTTTACCCCGAAAACAAAACTCATTTTGATCCCAAACCATCTGTGTCGGGCCCTGGTCCTCACCTTTGGGATGCAGTAAACGCTTTGATTTCAACATTACATTAAGAACAGAAAGGCCACAAAAAGATTTGACAGTAAGTTTCGATGTCCGATTGGGAAGCTTTGTGGGTGGAGTTTTTTTATTGGAGCCTTTGGTCCAACAAGCACCTGCACCGGGGCAGCTATACGATGCTCTTTTCAGTTCAAGGAGAACGCTGCACATCATTTACGTACCAATCACTCATTTGACACGAGAGATCCAAATGATGACGTTTGTTTTTACCCACATAATATTTACTATGCATAACGTCTTCTTTACAATGATGAGCGTGAACGGTTGTTTACAGCCAAAGG